AATTCTGCAAAGTTTTAACTTGCAGGCTTTTAATTGCGCCTTTAAAATTGGGCCGCTCGACTTCTGGGTCGAGGTACTTTAAGGCAGGATATCTTATTTTAAGTATGAGCGACAATCGAAAACTGTGGATACCTGTCGCATCTACACACTCTGGCACTCACCAAAACGACCACTATTTGGAGTCAGGTTCTTTGTTGTAAGCACACCTTCCTCCTCTGATCTTTCACTACTTACATGCAAGGTAAGACATTTATCTTTACAGTATATACATTCTACCAATATATTAGGCAGGTTCAACAGGTGCCCACTTAAATGCATGAAATACCTAAATATAAGCATATGATGAGAATCTGAACGTCTTAACGATGACTGAACTTGCTATTTATGAGCGAAATAATCAAATTCTTAGGCTGTAACTTCGATTAATTTAATCGATCGATTAATCGATTCAAGTATTATTATATTATAAAATTATAAGGGGAAAAGGAGGCATTCAGGGGGAGATTAAGGGGTCTATTAAAATTAGATCAATTTCGACTGCTTTTTCAATTCGTGATAATTACTTTAATCGATTAATCAATCGATTAAATTAATCGAATCGACAGCTCTACAAATTCCGCAATCAAAAATTATTTATCGCCATCATTCATGAGTGTCGGTAGAAGGATTAAATATTAAAAAGTCGAGTCTTAGTACATCGAGGTGAACCGCATTAAAACATGAATTGGGCCGCAGTTTGAATTAACACTGCTCCATGGGATTGGCGTTCACGTGGATGTGCCCGTCATGGTAACCGAAATGGTTCGTGCAACGGAGGCAGGAGATTCTAGAAAGCCCCTTCAGTGCTCCCATACACGTCCAGTCGATGTCGCTCCGCAATTCATTTAATCCCACTCGTCTCTCTCTCTCCCTCTCTCTCTCTCTCCCTCTCTCTCTCTCTCTGTGACTCGTATGGACATTGATTTCATCCAAATTCAAATTGCATGTTGTGAAAGTCGATGCGACCACTCTCTTCGTTCTCTCATGGGACTTGGAATCTTCCTTTCGTCCTTGTCTTTCCGCGAAAAGGGACAAACCGAATGAAAGTTTTCATCTCTTCAAGTCCTTATTCGTGGTTCTTTCGAAAAATACGATTGCCGTGTCAATTTCACGGCCGTGTGAATGGTATTAGTTCTCGAGAAGCACGCTATGTCCATTCGAAAGCAGAATAAAAGGAGACACCGAAGGTTCCACTCTTTTCGTCGGACGAGCGCGATGGGTGAACATCAAATTGATGGTGGGTCACCTCCGTATCAGATCTTTTCCGTGTCAGACGATTCCCTCGAACGGACTCATCCCCGAAAGGATTTTTCCCATAAAGGACATTTCCTTGATAGGATTCTTCTCCGATCGGAAATTTCCCACGTAGGTAGTTTCTCCGATGGAATTATCCCCGCCAAACGCTTTTCGGCGGACATTCACTCAGAAAGTAAGCAACCGGTACTCATCGACCATCGGTTTTCTTCTTTCTTCATTCGATACTCGACGAGATATACGTCATCATCCGTCCTGCAAAAAAAAATATAACATCTGCTCCTTCTATGCATCGCATCCGTCGACCGACCTCAGTGACTCACGTTATGCGACACGCTTTGAAGGAAGTTAGTACGATCGACAGTATCTGCCCCACCGCACATCGCTGGACCGAGGTCTTCGTTCCGAGGTTCCGATACTTCTAAGCAAGGAGTTCGGCAATCTTCACTTCGTTCGAGCTCTGCTCCCAGGGGAGAACATCGATGAACTTTAAGAGATCGGTATGACTTCCACCTCAAGCCTTCCCGAAAGCCCGATGCCAACCCTTAACGCCTTACGGCATTCGTCGCGAAAGGGAAGATCGTTCATCGTACGTTCGTAGCTGTACCAGATGTCGACTCGGAAAAGAGGGTCCATCCCCACTTTTCTCCTCGTTCTTCCCACGCAAGTGCCCTCGGAGTAACCTAGGAGTTCTCCGTGCTCTCGTGCCTATAGAAATACTCCTTTCGAGAATGGAGGGGAATTTTCCGTCTGAATTTTTTCCCTTTGGGAAATAAACCGTTCTGGGAATGATCTTTCGGGGAAGAGTCCTCGAATCGTTCACTTCACTCCATCCATCGGAAGAGTAAAACCTATAAACCAGTGGTGCCCAACCTTTTCGGCTAGGAGGCCACATAGCTCACTCCCACAGCCATCTCGGGCTAGTCACTAGTATCGTAGGAGACAATTTTAAGGAAACCTAAGGGTATTTATTGTGGGTTAGGGGGTCGCGGGCCACCTATAAGCACCCCGAGGGCCACTTTTGCTCGCAGGCCACGGGTTGGGCACCACTACTATAAAGTAGGGCTGTCACGATAGATCGATGCATCGATACCACTATCGATTGTTTTTACGACCATCACGATGCATCGGCAAATGATTTTAACCCTTTCCCTGCCACTCTTTTCGCTGAGATCCAGTCCTAGCCTGGCAGGCTGTTATGCCATATTTGCGTGCAAGCGCATAGGTTGACTTATTATTATTGTGAGCAAATGAGCTAAGTTTTCAAGATGAAATTCACATATATTGGAAAGGAGAAATGAAAGAATTGCTACATGCTTTTTCTCCCCTTTCCAAAGAACCGAGGAAAAAAAGTAACTACATTTATTTTGGGGAATATTTTAATTTTTTTTTTAAACCTTTGTTCTCTTTGAGCATAGCTGTCAAATTTCAAGGCTGAAATTCACCAATATAAACAAAATCCAAACATTGGACATAGTTTACTTACAACTTAAATCTTTCATGGCTGAACTAAGAAAACGAATAACCTGGAAATTTTTTTTACTGTTTTTTTTTCTATTGAACAGGCCTAGCTAAAGATGGAGCTCGCAGAAAATTTTAAAAATTTTACTCACATATTCAAAAACGAATTTGTTTAATTACAAAAATAATTAATGAAAAATATTGAATAACAGACGATTGTTCACACGTGGGGAGCCCCTAAAACTTGGCCTTTGTCCATTCCTCCAGCATGCGGACATATTTTTTCATTTTTTCCTTTTCCAAAAAAAAAAGAAGAAAAAATTCTTACTTTTTCGTCCAGAATTCCATTTCACAAAAAATCAAACATATCGGGTCGCAACTATTCTTTTTGATCAAGCTTGCCTGAACTACAACCTATTTGAACAAATGATGCATCACCAAAGAGCCCTTTTCGAAAGCTATTAAGCAATACCATATAAAACAGGTTTTTTTCAATAGCAACAGCAAGGGCAGTCTTAAAAGATTTGATCCTTATAATGATAATACGCCATGAAAGGAATATTGCAGCATTTTGTTGTTTTCTCTCTACCACACTTGCAGAATTAAAGTTTTTCAAGTTTGCACAGAATGTTAGAATGTCAAATGGAAAATTTTTTTAAAGCACTAAACAAATCAAGCACTAACTTCAGAACAATATTTACCATATGTACAGTCTCTCTCCATGTTTTTAATTCTCCTGGCGAAACAAACGAAATACGGTTATTCGATCAATTTCTATTACAAGACCAGTTCTTCATCGACATGTCACCAAGTTCTCATAGTTCAAGCTTCATCTAATAGATAGCAATAGCCTTCAGAACAAGAGTTTCTGCTTCGTCCAGAAAACTGGACTTTGCCAGGGTAAGGGTTAAAGGGAAAATGTCCCATTGGATCGAGGCGAGCACAGTACAATACAGTCCGTCCGGTCGGGGAAAGGAGGAGGCAGCGCGACTAGCATAGGCGAGCAATTTCTGTCACGATCAAATTCTAGAAATGCTGGGACTGACTATATGAAAGAAGGGAAAGGGGGGGGGGGGGAACCATATAGGATCTGAGACAGGAAGTGGGAAGGTTGAGGGAGGGAAGACCGAGAATATTTTTTATCTTCGGTTTCAGTCTTCGGCTCGATCTCATGTAGTGCATGCTGCGAAAGCGGATTGTTCTTATACTCCCTTGATTTTGAAACGTACAGAGGTTAGTTCCCCTCTCTATATTCCTGTCTCTCTAGTATGCAGGCTTAAGCTTTTTTAAAAAATTATTTTCGACTTGCCGTGGGGTATTTTACCTCTTTCCTTAAGGTGAACCCAAGTGAATTTTTTACATGGACGTTGCTTATTCTATGGCTCTACCGATGTTTCGACAACCGCTTACATGACGGAATCGGCAGGTTCTCCATCTGTCGGTGTTAATTTTCAGGGAGGACCGTGTATAAGGAAGAAAAAGAAAAAAAAATTACGTGAACGGACTTGGCAACTGATCCTCCTCGGCAATTAAAAAAAATTAAGGCTGTCCTGATGGGACAATCGATGGGACATCGATGAACGGATGTCATCTTCGATAGTTAGGTAGGTTTTATTATTCCCTGCGAAGGTCACACCTCCTCGCACACAAGCGTGAGATTATGGAAGCCGAATAGAGGTCTCCGCTCCGATCGAGGCAAGACACGATCGAAGATAAACCTCTGCCTGATCGCGGCGAGAAAAGATTGAATCCTTCGGCGAAACCCCCCCCCCCCCCTCCCCCCGATGCATCGATACGCTATCGATAGTTGAGGTCGATGCATCGATGTTTGAAAACTGCCATCGTCATAGCCCTACTATAAAGTGAAGCGAAGTTCCAGAAGATATTTCTGAAAGATAACTATTTTTAGATACCGATAACCGAAACGGGGTTGACGTTCGTCGACGTGTGAGCGTCCTTGCGACGATGTCGTCACGTCCGATATCGGGGCCGTACCGTATTCGCTCGACGGATCCGAATCCGAGACGGAGGAAGAACGAGTGCTAGGTGCTTAGAACGGCTACGAAGCGGAATAGAGGACACTCGACCGAGTCGACAGGGACGAGGCGAAGAGCATCGTAGCCGACGTCAGGATGCGGACTTCGTTCGATTCCGTCGGCCTATCGTCGGCAGAGCCGTCTCTCTTCCGCTCCCGACCGGGATCACGACCCCGGATCGACTCGGCAGGCAAGGAAGGAACTCGAGCATTTCTCGCCTGCAGAATATATTTATTCCCGAGTTCTCGTCGCGGACGTTAGTGTTGCGGGCACTCGTAGAGGCGGTTGATTTTGATGAGGTCGTTTTCGCTGAAACCCTCTCGTTGACCGATGTCACCGGGCTCCGCAAAGATGGGATCGATGGTCGGAACGTCGGGATCGATGGCGAATCCATAGGCCCCGTAATGCAAGACGCTCCCGTAGTCGTATTCCGTGCCCAGGTGCGTGATCTCGTCCAGACTGTATTTTTCGAAGTTATGCTCCTTCCCTGCGTGCCGCGAGGAAAGGAGGTCGCCTTCAGAGACGCGCAAAAGCGAGGAGGAAGGGGAGAACGAACCGCAGACCGACCTTCTTCGATGTTCGACCAATTGATGACGACCCAATCGTCGCGATCGGCCCGACTCTGCTCGTGGTAGAAGCCGATGGCGTGCATGATCTCGTGGAGGACGATGCCGATCTTCTGGAAGCACCGATCCGCCAACCTCATCTCTTGACTCGACCCCATGTATCCGACGTAAGAGCTGCAACTACATCACCCAGAGCAGAGCAAAGTCGTCGGAGCAAAACTGCATCGGTCGAACGCCTAGCCCTAGGGTCTGACTAACATCGCGTAAGCGTTTTCGTAGTGAATACTCGCTTCCGTTGCGGAGATTTTCGAGAACTGATAAATAATGATGTAAAAAAATCCTCTCTCCTGGTGCATGGAGATGCTCGAGATTCGGGGACGTGTGCATTTTCCTACGTCACGAGAATCTCATCACCCCTGCGCGAATTCCCGGGAGAGAGGATTTCTTCGTTCGAATGTTCCTACGTGGTATCGGCGTCGGGGACGACGTTGATGTAGCCGGAGTCTTCGGAGGTTCTCTCTCGGAATCGGAGACACGTGCTTCTCTCGTAGATGGAGATGGCCTGCGCGAACACCTGCCTCTGTTCTTGGCCTGACGCACGAGAGGGAATCCAATTACGCGAAAGAAAGGATATCCTTCGGACGTGGGCGGAGAGAGCCGACGGATTGCAACGTTCTCTCGCTCCACCCGACTGGGCCGGACGCGTGCAGAAAGGATGAGGGCTACTCGGTGAACGAGGGAGGGACGCATCGAGGACGAGGCGAGGACGCGTCTATCTGCGGCCAGCCGACGAGAAACGATGGGACGAACCCCACGAAACTCGGTTCCAGAGAAGAAGTTCACGTCGCAGGTCTTCGACTCTCCTCCCGAATCGTCTCGTCGGAGAACGTGCGGCCGGACGTTTTGCTTTTCTCAGGCGATACTTTTATTAAAGTTGGAAATTTCCACGCGGAAAACCGGGAGAGGGAGAGAGAAATTGCGAATGGCGGTGGCGGCTTTCGCAAGGCCCTACACCAGCGGTTCTCAAACTTTTTACGCTACACCCTCCCTAATGACCCTGGTTCGGTGTCGTGGTCCCCCTTCTCTCCGAGAGGAGTACCTAGAAACTGAACTTAGCCCACTGATGCTTTTTTCATACGACGATTGGAAAAATACGAAACGGATCGCAACGGTTCCGGGACCGGGTCACGGCTAGGGTTCGGATCATCGTTCGCCTAATTTAATGAGAACGACGCTCACGTGCTTCTGGGCCCACAAATGATCGCATCTGGATAGGACGGTAACAATAACGGCGCATGTCTAATTTTCGAAGACTCGACAGAAATGTCTTCGAAAATTTTGCTCAGTCGAAAATTTTGACCTGTCGCGCTCCCCCTGGGACCCTCTCGTGCCCCCCAGTTTGAGAACCCCTGCCCTACACGATGGGGATCACGGTGATGTAGGAGTCGCGTGACCTGCGCTTTCGTCGCGGCCAGAATGGTCGCGGACGATTCGTCGCAGACAAAACTTCGCATGCACTTTTGGTCGTTGCACCATTTCGTCGTCGATACCGATCGTCGCACTCTCCACGTCACGAGGGCATTACAAAGACTGGGAGTAGATGCGTTTCGCACGAGTCTACGCGTGGGTTCCTGAGATTTATTATTTACGAGCGGTGGCTTTCAGCTCCCCGACTGCATTTGTCACGTGGTACACGATCAGAACTGGGTGCATGATCGTGGTCGGACTCGGCCACTACTTCATTTCTTGCGTGCATCCTACCTTTACGGCTTCGGAACTCACAATCGCCATGTCGTCTTATCGAAGTCTCTGCAGTATAAATATATACTTCATAGTGAAGCTTTTCTTTAACTTTAGATGTATTTGCCTCCCCTTCCCTTTCCCAGCCGATACCCATAACGAACACAGGGGTCCTATTCTTTTCTATCTTTTTTGTTCACCTTGCTTTCACCCCTTTCCCCGGTGCGACTATCTTGCCTGCGACGAAATATTGCAACGATCAAAAGTGCATGCGACGTTTTGTCCCCGACGACCGTCCGCGACCGATTCGGCCGCGACGAAAGCACCGGTAACCACGAGTCGAATGCGCATTTTCGCGCGAGCCAGAATGCGAGTGATGGAAAACTTGAATGGACGAGTGAGGAAAGTCGAAAAGGTGAGGCTCCTCGAGCCCCGTGAATCTCATCGGTCGAGCCGAGGCTTAACGTCAGACCATTCGCCGGGTGCACTAACACTCGATGGCGCGTTTTAAATACGGCGCCGCCCGTGACTGGGGGGAGTCGCACGTAAGTAGGAGAATGGAACTAAGTCATGTCTTCACAGAATTGTACTATCCTTCTTCACGTGGGGCGCCTCCCAATTTCTTCTCAAAACCTGAGAGCCATGTCAATGATAACGGGAGCTTCTAGCCTAAGTAAAACATGTTATAAATGCGTTCAGGGATGTGCAAGAACGTAGTTCAATCCTTAATCGAACTTCACTTTAAAAGGAGGTACAGGTTTTCCTCAAAGCCACTCACCAATACAAGGATTTCTATGAAATCATGGGCCTCAGTGAGGTACATGTGCATGGTATGAGTGGGATACTATTAATATCTTCCAGTTTCTTGAATTCACTACAACGGGAACTGCTTTGAACTAGGGTTGGGTTTCAAAACGAGACGCTTGGCAAGATCTTGAATCCCATTTCTTGTCAAGTCTTGATATGTCCTCCACCTTTACAAATAAATCAATATTCCCACGTCGAGTGGAAATATTAATTTATTTTATTTTATTTTTTCTCCATTCAGGGCCGTTTCTAGGGGTGGGCGAAGCGGGCGATCGCCCGGGGCCCCAGCGGGATATGGGAGGGAGGGAGGGGGGGCGTCATTGGAACTCCTTGCCCTGGGCACCAACATGCCTAGAAACGGCCCTGTCTCTCCTCATTTTACCTGGTTGTGACATTGTTATCATCTTGACAAGATCTTGCTTTTTTCTTGCCAAGATTTTTTCTCATCAAGCCCAACCCTACTTTAAACTTGATGAAGTATTGACTCCCATCGCTTCTGTATTCTCTTAAGTGCTTCTAGTTTTCATTTTCCTGTCGGTTGTGCTTCATGGGCTTAAATCATAACCCATGAAAGAAATCCTTTTCGAATTAGTACCTCACGATAAAACGTATCATGTCGAGGGTAAATGTTTGCTATTTATCCTGTAACGGCAAATGCCAAATTTGATTCTCATAGGCCCATGGAAAGCGCAGGCCTAGACTGAAAGAAACATCATGACATTTCAGGCTGTCTGGATGCTCCAAGGAGAAACTACACACCATCGATTACATACTATGTAATCATTCTTGGCCTCCCAGGAAATCCTTCTGGGAAAGAAAATGAAGCATTTTCGTAGTAAAAACAGTCTCCATCTGCATGTTTCCATTAGAAACTCATTGAAGCTTGCGCGTTTGACTTCCCCCAGCTCATTTGCATGCTTCCTGCCGTCAGATGTCTCCAACTTAATGCACCCAGCGTTAACATTAGGCTGGGGCTGACGTTATGCCTAGTTCGTGCGACGATATCATCGTCCCCAATGGTAGACTCCATAATTTTTTAGATTTCAATATCATAGTGCGAGTTGTAAAAAGGAATTTGGGCGCACATCCACGAGGTTCGGATTCGGTGAACGCACTCGAGCTGCAGGTTGGCTAGTAGTCGGACGCAAAAGGTAAAATACCCAGTGAAAGTAAAATACCCAGGGTAAAATACCCACGGCGCAGGAAACTTCCAAAAAACTAGGGATTTGTAGCATGAACACCTCTGAAGTGCGTAAGTGCTTGCATGCTTCTAGCCTGTCACAACAGGAGTAGACGTGCTACGGGAGGTTAGCTGTTGGAATTTTTATGTCGTATGGGCCGTCACTGGGGACCGGTCCGTCACTGGGTATTTTACCCTATCTGTACGTTGTTCTGACCCTTTGGAAGTAGTAGGCACGGGCACCGCCTTCTGAAAATTATTGGGGAAGGTCTCCTTTATATAACGAGGACTGAATCATTCTGGGATTCAGTGGCGTGGCTGGGAATTGTTGTAACTGAGAGACGAGCACGAGAGGTGTTGGGCGAAGAGCCAAGGGAGGGTCTACGAAAGTTTCGGTGTCCGTGCTTTAAGAATATCCTATTAGGAATACCTATTCCTGAACCTTGAAAAACAGGCCTTGGGAGGTGACCGAAGGCCAAGGGAGGCGCTCGAACCATCTGCGACCCCCCTGCCTGCGTTCGCCAGTGCTAGAAATGATCGAAAGAATGCAGATTTTTCAGTGGAAATGTTCTCGTCACACACGGCACAAATGATTTGAGGACCAGAATAGGGTGAAAAAAGATCCCCCGAGAATGGCACTATACCGTCGAGCCCTCATCACCGCCCACGTCCCCTCTTTTGACTCTGTGCCCTTGGGTCCTCGCCTTTCCGACCCATATTTCTACGCGACACTGAGGATCTCCCAGATGACGCACTAAACGGGGAAATCATTTTTACCATTTCTTTCGTGACATGGCATCATGTGTCCTTCGTTCAAAGTATACTAGCATCCAAAAGAAACGTTACAAGGTAATTTAGGGCTCGCCCGCGTAGCAGAGACGTGATGGCATCCCGGCAAACATAGTAGCATCGAGGGAATGTTCAACTAGTGTCAATACAATGTCATTAGCATTGAAGGTTCGAGTCCAACATTGTATGAATATCTTTTCAGTGTAGTGCCACGATGATACCATCTTAAATTGGTATTTTGAATTATATTTCTGGTAACATCATGTAGCATGTCAATCCAATAGGGGAAAAAATGACTTCTTTTTTTTGGGAACGACCGAGAATCTATCCAGTGTTACTAACTAACTTTGACGGATTGCTTCTGCTTCCACGTTCAGCAGCGACCATGTCACGAGAGGAAAAGTGTGAAGTGGCCTCTACTGTCTGGCACGTACTTCGAGTGAATCGTGTCGATTGCCGTGAAATGACGAATAGACTGTTCGTAAGAAGCACTGATATGGAATGTATCTGTGCTTATTGGGGAATGTTGAACCGATCTTTAACTTTGATCTTCACCCGAGTGTTCCAATGAGCGACATTGCAATGTTGGCCCAATGTTCGGACGTAAAATACCTTTTTCTGGTGATTCTCAGGCATACCTGCCATTCAGGCTATCCGCATGCCCAAAGGAGCACGCAGGGACGAATGAAGGAATGGAGAACATTTTGAGGAGGGGCGAGTGCAAGCCGTTGTGTCTCGTTTCTCCTTCCTACAGTCTAGACAGAAAAACCAAGAGACTACGAGGACAAATCATACCCCGAGGATGAGTAAAAATCCAGGCGGCAGGAGACCGAAAAGCTAAATGCTTTCATTCGTGAATGGGATTTCTGGCCGATGCCGTACAGTACTGACGTATTGAAGGAATTTTCGTTTTGTATGAGGCATCCGTATTCGCGTTGCGAATTGACTCTTCACAGATGTTTTTCATCTGGCATCGATATCTCGTAAGAGTCTTCCGTGGTGCGACTGCCAACTGGGGGCCTGCAACGCACGGATCCTTTTCTTCCCTTCTACTTTGAAGGGCGAGAACGTGAATTCCATGGAATTTAACAAGGGACTTTAGGGAGTAGGGGGGGAATCGAATGGAATGGGTTGGGTGTCGAGGAATAACCCTTTTGTGCACCTGAGCATTGTCCAACACGAAAATGAACTCATTACCCGGACCGATGATGGCATTTAGTTCATCCAAAAATTCAGCAAACGCAACTCGTGTGAGATCCGTCTGGTGGTGCAAAAGTACACGAGAAGGGATGACCTTAACCTGACGAGCTGACAAACCAAAATTTCCATCCGGTCTTGCATCGATGAGCAAGTTCCTCTTTCCATCTCTCTGGTGCAATTGTGCCACCACGAACATATCACGAATGGAATCGAAACCGGCTTGTGCTTACAGACGCCTGACTAAAGAAGAAACGGAGGCTCCTAAACAGGCCGGAAAGTCGACAGTGGGAGCTGTTCCGCTCTCCCTCAGCTCATCGGCTGGCCCGTGCGCGAGCCCTATCTCCATCATCCCAGGCATAACGAATCCTTTGGGGGGTGCGGGTTGGCGTCATTCCAGAAAGACCTGAGAATCACCTGAAAAAGGTATACAACTTGGGTGCTGGGAAGGTTCTGAATTAAAATTCATGTAGCACTCGTAGAATGTTATTGCGCTACTGGACAAACGCTCAGCCAGTGGCGAACTTCAACGTTCATCTGAGTATTACAATAAGTGACATTAAAATATCGACCTAATGTTAGATGCAACGCCACCACGACGCCGGGAAGGTTCAAAATTAACGTTCATACAACGCTGATTGTTTGCTGGGATTATATCTGTCTTTTGTTGAACGAGTCAACAGCGCCTGAATATCGTTAGCGTGTACTCGCCAACCTTTGAGCGCTGTGCACGTGCCATATGCCTTTTTAAGTTTTCTCCAAAATTCCATATTTCCATAGGTAAAAAATTGGTTGATTCCGCCGTGCACGTCATACCCTCTCCGAAAACCATCAGAGACATGCAAAGGCTAACGCAGCAATGATGGGACCGGACGGTAAAAATGGGTGTAACGCAAGCCCACTCGGGAAATCGGAGACCCGCATCCAAGAAAGAGAACGGTTTCGGTCAGATATCATCAGGCCCGTGAAAATCTCCAAGGAATGATTAGGCTTCCTGCACCGTGGATGCTTTCCATCGTGTTAGCGTCGGCGAGAAAACTAGATGGACAAAATCCCATCGATGCGAATGGAGAAGAGCCGCCACGACACCAAGCAAGATGGTTTCTTAATGCTACAAGTCCGCTTCATTAAGCGCCGCCTCCAGTTCTGTTTCTTAGTTAAGTGCCTCCTGTTCGAGGTTTTTTTTTTAAGCATTCGGATTTTGAGCTATTTCGCGAATGGACCAGCAGGGGAAAAATGCGATCGGCGCGTCTGGCGACCAGTCTTTTCCCTCCTAGCGCCAAGGAAGTGCCTAGTATCTGGCAGCTGGAGTGACTCCAGCTGAAATATTTTTGTTTTTGTTTTGTCCACGTCCACGAATGCAAGGATGCGGGGGGGGGAACTGCACGTGGATTTAGTTCTATAGGAAGCAAGATTCCAGAGGATCGTACTGAAGGAAGAGTGGAGTTGGTATACGACGACTCCATCCGGCCATCGAGCGCTCGGGTCCAACAGTGCGTTTCTCATCTGCAATGCATCCGTCATCTCAACGACAGTACTGCGAAGGGGTTCCGCTCCTCTCTCTTTACCGCCGGGAAACTCACGGGATCTTGGCCGGGTAAGGTCATGATGTCGCCTTGAAAGTAGGGGCCGGTCATGTCGGGGGTGACCTCGGGTCTTCCCGGTTTCTTTTCCGCGACCGGGTGAGCCGCCGACGGAGACGAAGAGACCAGGAGAAGCAAGGCCCAACCCAGGCCCGGCCCCATTCGATTCCACCGAGTCTTCATCTTCTTCGTGGATCCAACACTACTGCCTCCGTACGGTAAAATTTCCTTTTACAAACGCTTCGGAGGGGGGAAAAACCGCGGAGAAACACCTGCTGTTCGACGAACAGGATGCGAGATGGGGAATCCCGTGAGATTTTCCTCATGGCGCCTCTATTCCCGCCCGGGCCTCGAGATAAGCTCCGGCCCCGCCGAGTCGGAACCTTCCTTCGGAGCCGCGCTCCGGAACGGATGGCCGTTCCCACGAGAACTTCCTCTGCACGGCCTCCCGACGAGGCTCTCGTTCCTCGGGAATAGGTCTGCATCCGAGAGAGATGGTATCTCTTCGAGGTTTCTCGCGCGACCGCAGTCGTGATTCGTTGGAAATTTTGCCGGAACGGCTCTCGCCCCCTTCGAGTACCGAATCGTTCGGACCGGATCCACATACGAAGGGGATTGCAGCTCGGTACGACGTTTCGAGCCGCTGCCGAAGACTCGTAAAACGAGGAAGGAAAAGTATGAGAGGAACGAGAACGTCGGGATCCTGTCCTCGTTCCCAGACGTCCTCCACGTCGACGAACGAGATCGAAAGGGATCGAAAGGGATCACCGGGGATCATCGGGGATCGTCACCCGAGGCTCTGGGCCGTTCTTGGCCTTTTTTGCGAATCGGGTCCGAAGATCGATCGACGTTCGGCGTGTCGAAATTCGTCTCTCGCCCGCGTCGGAGCGTGCGTGCGTGCCTCCCTTCGTGCACTCGTCTCCGTTCTCCCCGCCTCGTTCTTCAGGTAGGAAGTGGAGGAACGGAGGAGGAAGACGGCATACGGAAGAAAATCCTTTCGGTCTCGGAGGCTGGTGGCACGAGACGAGAAACGCTCGTCGTTCTTTCCGCTCTTTCTTCCGTCGTTGCTTTCCCTCCGACTCTGCGACCTCCCCCCCCACCTCCACTCTTGCTGTTTACGAATTTACCTCCCTACCGAGAGCCACTGCCATCTTTTATTTACGGCAGAGATTCCTCCTGGGTGAGAAGCTTCCGTTCGACGAGACGAGGGAATCGGCTCGTGCACACGAGCACCATTTTCGCTCCTTTCGACTAGGAGGACGCGGGCCCGTCGTGCGCGAATCTGGCCGTTTCCGACGTTTTCACGGCTAAACGTGCCGTGCCGTATCGAACATTTACTTTTACGCCCCTTGCCGATGAATTTTGTCACGCGGATCGAGATCTTATTTTCCGGTGAGAAAGGACGAAGCCATCCCTCCTTACGTTCTCGAATCGCCTGTCGTCCTCGATACGCAACGTAGGAAGCACCTGGCTTTCGGTAAATACACTGGCCACGATCGAAATTGCAGCATCGAGAAGTCGAGCGATCTCGATGAAATTTGTAAACGAACTCGTTGCAGTTTGTGATAAAAATCCACTCGCGTTTTAAGGGTATATGACGATACCGAAGAGGGAAAACTGGCCGCTTTAACTCGACCTCCATATTCAGAGTCGGTAAAAGACGGAGGTTAGGGTGGTGGCTGCACCGATCGCGACCGATTGCTCTCGTGCATGCATCCGACTCGCACGTCGTGGAGAAGCTTACAGTTCATGCATGCAATTCGACCGACGTCGACTTCGGCTCGAAAAAGTCGGCAAAGTTAGGTCCCCGCACGGCTCCGTAGCCGAGGGCACAAAAAGGGGAAAGCGAGGGAATCGGATTCGGAGTCTGGCGTCATCGATGCAGCCGTCTCGTCTCCGATTTCTCGGACGTTCGGCTTTTCCCTTTATCTTCTTTCGCCTCGAAACTTACCTAGATTTTTCTACGCAGCATCAGGGAATCGGTGAGCTGCGAGGTGGTTTTTTTTTGGGTAGGGTAGGAGGTTAGCAAGACCTCTCTAGAAAGCGTTTGGCCGGTTTTCTCGACGAACGAGCGTCCCATGGCCTTAAAATTCGAATCGATTCCATGGCACTGCTCGAATTCGTGAACGAAAATCCATTAATATCGCTCGACTTCTCCTTAGAATTGCGATCTCGATCGCGGACCGTTGTTCTCTTCGTGAAAACCGTGTATTCCCTGAATCGTTTCGTCTAGTATGGGTTTTCCGTACGGAATACGTGTGACAAAATGTACATTTATGCAATCTAGTTTCGTCATTCCTTGCTAAAGGAGATGAATCCGGATCGCGTTATCGGAATCGATATCGTAGGGGGCCGATCGACTCGAGCGAAAGGAGAGCGAGAGCCCGATGGTTACTCGACTTCTTAAAACGATTCGAGTTTCGTACGAAGATTCTCGTCGACCACCGAACGTGTAGAAAGTAAATAGAAGAGCCGAGACGTTTGACGCTTTCGCGGACGGTGGAAATCGTGCAGAGCCGCTGGGAAACCGACTGCCGTATTTCACATGGGCTCGACGTAAAAGACGCCGAATGAAGTCGACTACACTTGGACGTGTTCCTCGTGTCACTCGGTGATGTCGGTAAGCCCCAGAGGGTACGGCGGTCGAAGTGGACCGGAGGGAAGGCGAAGGTTAGATACCGGAAGGAACGTGCAGGCTGGGTATCGTTTTTTGGAGCGAAGAGATCACTTCGTTGGCATTTTTTTACCGTCTGGAAGCGTCGAGGTGATCGTACGTCTCGAGTAGCGTCGTGGTAGAGCTTTCGTCGATGAGAGTGATTTTCCTTTCGAAGAAAAACACGATGACGCGACTCGAGGCAAAAAGAAAAAGATAAAACGGCCGAAAGCGGCCGATGCGATCGCGAGTCCGTATCGTCACGGACGACCCGAAACGGGAGCCACCTCGCGGCTCTTCCCTCCGAGACGGTCTCGCCGATCGCAGACCGTAAACCGCGAAAGCGACCGACGGATCGCAGACCGAGTCGCTTCGCGTCGACACCGACGGCCTCGGAACGGGTCGCGTGCACGCGATCGACGACGGCCGTCGTCGTCTCGTTCGAGGAAGGCAAACGTTTCCGCGTCGACGACGGCCTTCTCGTCCCGGCACGAGGCGAGGCAGACGACGGCTACGGCCGTTTCGTCCGCGAACGCGTTACGTTAAATGTGACCAGACCGTTATAATGGGACTCTATGGCGCAAAAGTTTAGCTCGATTTGCATGAAAACGCGCCCAATTCAGGAAGAGCCATTTATTGCATAGGTATCGTATAGGCTCGTGATGAAAATCTCTTTGGGTTGATTTCGTGGTTTTGCGATCGATTTTGCCGTATTGATATATAGATATTAAGAACTGACTGGTACTTGATAGTGAACTTGGTACCTCACTCAATGGAAGGAGCTTCAAGTCCGTAATTCATTGATGTATTGTTTATCGGGGTGAGAGTGTGTACTTTTGCGAGAGAGCGCTTTTCAATTTTCAGATTGGAAGTTAAGGGTAGAGCTTAAGGTAAGGAACGCTCTATCTTGACAAGGGATGTGCACGATGGACAGAACTGCCTCTTTACATGCTTCAGTCTTGAATGACCAGGAAAGGAGTGAAAGGCGCATGCGCATCGCTTAGCCTCAAACTAGGGGTTTTGTTTTCGGTTCCCTATCGTCTCGCCGACTACAACTCGCCGAATATTCTATTCGCGGGCTCGGTGGGTAATATTAAGTTCGCGAGTGTTTATGAAGGCAGGTTGGCAGAATTGGACTTTGAACCCGTCGACACGGCACGATGCCTTGCAAGATGCAGTTACCATATGACACCACATGCTCACTCTTAGGCACGTAATGGATAAGTAATGAGCTCCTTACTCATCACATGATTGGAAAAAAAGTTTTCACAAAATAGTTGACGCTCGATGCAACGAACCTCTCAACCATTTTTTTCAGCTTCCATCCATTTGCTCATTCACATGCATGTTGAAAAGTTTCTCTATAACGATATTCTGTGTAACGAAAAGTTCGGTTTCACGAAGTCATTTTTTTCGTCCGAAGAAACAGAACGGTTCCGTATCGCGAAGCTAAAGTCTGTCGCACACGTCAGAGCGACTTTCTTTCGTGTATTCCTGGAAAATCTAATCAAATTTAGCACGTTCCACCCACACATGGGTGTGGTCGTGGGGAGTGAGGGAGTTCCTAATAGTGGGTCGGGCCGAGTCCGGAATTCTGCCCGCTCAGACGATCGAAACCTTCGACCATCTTGGGCCGCTTTTCAGTGAATGGCCGAATGTTGACGAAACTTTTGAAAGATGGAGTGCTCTGCAGACTACTGCTCATACACTCTTGTTACTCTGAAAATGGGGTAACAAAAGCGTGTAATTTCTTACTCTTGAATAGGAGTAATCTATGGAGTAACAGAGGAAAATCGCATATAAAAGGTTACAAATTTGGAATGAAATTTTTTTAATGCACTGGTGTGTTCATGTAAAAGGAAATCAACCTTCTGAACTCCATCAACATCTCCGATGGCAAATTTCCAATGAACTGGATAGTAATATTGATGTTACTCTTAATGTAACAATTCTCGGAAATGTTGATGAAGTTCAGGACATAAGATTCATTTTAATGAACAATCCAGTATATATATATATATATAAATTTCACTCCAAGTTTGTAACATTTTATATGAAATTTTCCACTGTGTTACTCCGTAGGTTACTCCTATTCGAGAGTAAGAAATTACACGATTTTATTACCCCATTTTCAGAGTAACATAGCTAAGAGTGTGTAATCGTCGAGGAAGGAGTCCGGCAGACAACCACGAGGGACTTCGCATCCGATGAATAGACAGCGTTCGTGACTCTTCCCATTTTTATTACACCTACAAATAGACCATACTGCTGCGTACCCCCACTTAGATGCATGCACAGGTCTTGGAAGCTGTATTTTTGTAATATAACACACGCTTGGACCTTCGCATTTTTTCACGAGCGGACAAGTACTTGCTTTTCTGTCATAAAGGAGATTTCGAAGCAATACTGACCTAAGTTTTTACAGGTTTCTTTTTTTTTTTTTAGCGAAACGTGATGAAAACTCTATCACGAATTTTCTCAATAACGAACATTTTTAGCTTGTCCCTTCGAGTTCGTTATATCGATCGGCGACTGTAGTTACTGTTTGGGAACCCCTGGTGCATGAACATTTCTGGCATTGTCGATGAAATTTCAAGCGATTTCTATCCAAAGAGCCCTTGCTTTTTCGATACATGCGGGCCTATAGGTGTGAGAGAAAGCGTTGAGCATCTTTACCGTGTCGATGCTTCCAACTGAGTAGTGTTTCCACTTTTTTCGCGAAGAGGATGTTCGGTGAGCCTCTTCTATGCCTCCCGTCGACCCCTTGCAAAGGCATTCTACCGAGTTTCTTCTCATTTTGCCATTGTTAGGCACTCGTTACACGGATATGCATTTCAAGCCATCGATTAAAGGAATCATCCGTTTAAAAGGACTCATTACATCAGTGGTGCACAACCTTTTCCCCATAGAGGGCCAAAATTGAGATTTCGGCTCATGTTCGAGAGGTTCGAGGGCCGCAAGCCCCTCAAACCTGAGCCGAAATAGGCTTCATATAAATATGGATCTTTAGAGACCGGAGGCATCCAAGGGGCCACAAAAAAGGTCTCAGCGGGCCGCGGGTCGTGCATCACATCATTCGTGACATTAAATTCCACCTATTGAATCCAAACAGAGGCACTATACCC